TAAATCTGTGCGTCACGGCCAGCAGCTTTCTTGTATTTACCCACTTTTCGTCGAAACTGTGGTAATACATGATACTTTTGATTTCCAATCGTGATTTCCGCTGAGGGACAGCAACCAGTAACACGGTACACAGCATCTGTTTCTTGACTGACCAAATGCCGTAATTAAAAAAGCTGAACAAGCTTGGAGTTCAATGAAAATGGGGGTCACATCTGGTTATCACTTAATCTCTACCAGTTGATGGGCGAGGACACAGCTGGACGTCTGGCAATTAATCCATGAATAAATGCACCTAAGGCGAACAAATATTCGCGAAAAGTTTAACAGACTTCATAAAGGCAGAGCTGACCCGGTGGTCCTCCTTTTTTGTATTTGTTCACGTGTACCTTTTCCATTAGCATTTTGAATGGTCCAATTTTTGCTGCTTTTCGATGCAGCTTGGATATAGCACTTCTGAAACAAGTAAGCGACCAAAGTCTTTGCTCATTTCAAAGTTATCTAGGACAATAATTTTCAGTGGCAAAAAACAAAATATGACTTCCACTGATGTGGCATAGAGTTGTCGATCGAGGTCAGATGATGATATAATTACATTGTTTGCACCAACTCAGGGTAGTTAAATAAACTGGACAAATCACTGATGTGATCAGAATGATGAGTTTGCCACCATGAGAATTGCTATTTCGGCTGTTGGTTGTTGGTGCGTATTTTTGCAAGCCTTGATGTGTTTTGACTAACGCCGATCTAATTTTGTAGAAATAGGTACTGATATGCGGTGACATATCCTCAAGCTGGATGATAGCCTCTATCACGCGAACAAAAGTTTGAAAGAAAGTTTGCAATGATGTAGACTGTCAAGCAGTTTACAGTCAGACAGTCTGCTTTGGCATTTTTATACGGGAACAAATGGCACTTAGAAAAAAGTAATTTACGAAAAGTCCCGTAGCTCTTATAGAGTAAAATAGCGTGGTGAACGAGCGTGTTTTCAAATATTCTTATTGATATGATTACATAATATATGTTTGCTTTAAAACGACAAAGGAGTATTGTCATCCAAAACTATCTGTTCACATGTTTATGCGCGTGCGAAATCGACCACTGAATGATGTTCGAGTGGTTGCATACATGTTTGGGAACAAGAAGTTGGACATCGAAGTTTAAGTGTTTGCACGCACTATTTCTGAGCGTACAGCAGAGGATTGAAGAGACGAATACATACGGTTTCAGCTGTGGCTAAATTGTGACACTCGACAAGTTGTGATTGTTTGCTCCGGATTTTGTTATTGGTGCGAAAAGGTTTTACCACCTCTACTCAACAGAAGGTGAACTCACAGCACTCGCAATTGTCCTAACTGCTTCAGTGTTCAACCAAGCCGAGTGGTATCCACGAACACTCTCAGCTAAGCGCTTGGTCATGCGGCCAACATACCTAGTTTCACAAAGACAAGCAGATGAATACACAGAAAGACACTACAAAATCTGGCACTCTATCTCTCAGTCGAAAACATACGAGTGGTTTGGATTGGGACGAGATTTGTAGTTGCGCAGCTCAGAATGTTCCTTTTGACTGCCCTTATTAGTCTTCGTTCAATAAGCTCAGATTCCTGTTCTCGTTTGAACTCTAAAGGACATATACGGGCTTCTTTTTGACTACTGTTTGTCGTGACCTAATTCCATATAGTTTCATCGTCTTGTCAATAAACAGTTCAGGATAGGCATTTTTTCAGAAAAATACTCCGCAGAAGACGAGGTTCATTCTCCATGGTGTCTTTTGTGCAAACCTTCCTTTGCTCCATCAACCATGCAAAGTACGGAACTGTGCAAATGGACGTATCGACCTTTCTAAGTTGCTTTCTCACGGACAGGTATCTGAACGGGACCATCACTTTGCCGGCTCACATATACATCAAAGTACGGTTCATTATTTTCCTTTTCCTGCTCCAAAGTGAATTGAAAATTTGGATGGGCTGCGGTAAAACTGGTAAGTAGCAAATTTATCTTAACTTTGGCATCTATTTTGCATAGGATTTAGTCAGCGGCAGTGTTCGATTGGTAACTCGAGCTGGTTTTCCTCAGGGTTTGCCATAAAAATGTCACCAAATGATGGTTCTCAGTTGACCCCAACGCCACCCCGTCCTTCTGTTGATATATTTTATTGGTAAACTTAAAATGGATAATGAGTACAGACAAATAGCAATTGTTTCGGTTCATCCAATGGAATGCTTGAATCTGTATGTTCGGCTTCAATTATTCACATAGATAGTTGATTGTTTTGGCGACTGGGACGTTGGTCACCAGCGAGGTAATGTCTATCGAAATCGTTTGCTTCCCTTCCAATTTGAGAGTGCTCTTAACCACCTAAAGTTAAATCTCTCGTAGGCCGTATCTGAAAATCATGACTCTCGTTGGTTCTAACAATGCAGCCAACCAATTCTCTGTTGTGTGATATGTCGAGTGGCGCATATCCAAAATCGGTCTCAACGGGACACTCTCATTGTACCTTCGGTAGGCCGTCCAACCGAGGAAATGTTTCTCCAGTTGGTCGTACCATTTCAATGATGACCGCATCAATCATACCTTTTTGTTTCAATGATTTTGCTTTCGCATAGATTGGCTTCCCGATTTGAACCGTCCTGTCCTACTAAGTAATGGGTCTTTGTAAATTTGGAATCGTCATTGAATGTCGTTTTCATCTTCTACATATAATCCGACTTATTGAGGAATGCAATACCCGTTCCTTTAGCTGATCTTGTCAAAATCACTTATCTTTCTGTCTGTATCTCCTTCATATGGTTCAGGTGTTACAACGTTGATAATTCTTTTGTCAAAAACCTATCTTCAATATATTGATAACACGTGTTCGCAAGTGTGGATTTGAGCTTTTGTAACTCCTTTGAGGAGGAAGGAACCAGATCGGATAGTTGATCAAATAGGGTCTCAAATTCAACCTCCATATCCGAAGATTTAGTTTTCATTTGCTTAACATCAAAACTTTGGTTCCATCGACAGCATCTGAAGTGATGTTTTTCCGAACTTACAGACAACAAGTTATGCACAAACCTTTTCGGATATGAAGGAAAATCATCAGCGGATTTGCTCGGGTTGAAGCGTTTCCGTATTTTGGCACTTAACCGCCCAACTTGCCCGGCAACCATCGACTAAACATGAGCAATGAACTTGTTCTTTTCTTCTGGGGTCAGCTTTTCCAGCATTTTGCAGGGATTCACAAAACGACGCTCCTTTTTTGGTGCGCGACGTGATACGGTGCCTTTCTCGTTGGGCGCTTGGGGACAAAAACGGAGGTGACGGTAATCCGATTTCCCTTCAGGTTAGTTTGACAGTGTTTTGAATATTGTGAATTAGATATGCACCTATCAATAAACTGAACTCAAGTCTTTGCCAAGGTCAATTTCGTAAGATAGATAACATATCCGTTTAGTTCACGAAATACAGCCCGGTCGTCGGCCTGTTTCAAATGTGAAACATCCTACAGAGCACTGAGAACCAAACAGCTTGGCGAATAAGCTTGATTGCAGTTGAAAGCGAGCAGGAATTTTGGCTAGCATACACCTAGAACGAGTAGAAAGTAGGCATCAAGAAAGTTTGGTGCATCGAAACACTTCGAAATTCTTCGTCAAGTTTGGGAAGGATGGCAACTTAATCCAGTGCACAGTGTCTTTTCAGTATAGTTATTCAGTAACGGTAAAAGCAACTGTTATGGGCATTCGAAGTGTTCCCATTCCACTCATCTAATGTGAAAGTCCACTCATTGGGTCGAAATCTGTCACCTTACAAAATCCGAGTAACTTATGACCACTATTCTTGCGCTTTCCATCCGAAAGCTGACTGTTATACTTTTTGCTACATTTGCATTGCCAAACAATACATTTCAGTGCTAGTAGGAGTGACTTTTGACTTCATTTCGGGCAATTTGGTCCTCATAATTTCAGAGTTTGATTCAAAGCGTACGTATTCATTTTGATTGAAGGACGGGATCCATATTCGGAGGAGCGAGACCAAATTCGTCTACGCTCGAAGTTTATGAAACTTTGATGTCACTCAGGAGTTTGATTATATTTTAACTTGTCCTCTTCTTGGCTGTATATCAACCAGTCTTCTTGTTTCCCTCGAAGTAACTTGGACTGTCCAGTCAACTTTTCATTTGGAAGCCCAGATCACAACGATGAATTTTCACGTTAGCAATATTTTTTTAGTATACAGTAATAAATTTAACAGGTCATTTCGAGGAAATGTAGCAAAAATCATGGTTTTTCTTCAAAAATTTACATTTCGAATGAACCTGGCAATCTTCTCAGAACAAGAGTCTACGTACCGACTTTCCCACGATTTATCGTAGTTGTCGCTTGATTAGCCCACACCGTTTGAATGCAACTATATTTTCATGTATCTGAATCACAGTGCAATAGCAGCAATATGCAGCTTTGTAACATTGTAACTGCAGGTTGTTACTATGCTCCTACTGCGATGGCTGGTTTTCTAATTACTGTAAACTACCACTTATTCAGCTCGATGTGATAACCATAGAAAGGAAAGCATATCTGTCAATGACAAATAAACTTTATGTTGCGGTTATTCCGATGTTTTGGTTTGTGAATCTAGCAGAAACTCAGTCCCGATGATTACATACACGATATGGGCGGAACACGGGTACGGACAACAGAAAAAATTCCAATTTATTCACCGTGTTTATCAATAATTCATGGTTCTGAATATTGCAGTAAGCAAAAAGTAGGGGACCAACAGCCAGATGAGAAACCAAGAACAATGGGAAGTAACTTTCCGAAAATCGGTACAGCGCAAAAGTAAAAACGGTCCCCTTGACGAGCAGCTGAGCAAAACTGTAGCGCAGTTCGGTTGTGACACAATCAGTTAGTCAGGAAACTTTTACAGTCACGAATCGATGAATCAGTTACAAGAGCGTGAATTAGACTGTAGTTACCATACTGCACAGATTCATTATTAAACAACTACAGGTAAGCCTAATCTATAGGGCATACGATAGCAGGTGCCAACATGAATGGACGGATGGCCGAAGGCGGAGTACACCGACAGAAACGCTGAGACTGGGAGTTCTTGCCTTTGCTCTGTTGTGCAAATGAAACACTCAATAAGATTATATAATAGTAGACTTTGAGACCTTTGATGTAAACAAAGTTATGAATTATTGCGTAAACCTTTTATGTAATAGCCGCCGTGGAACTCGAGTATGAATCAATATGACACTGTAGAAACACAAAAAATACATAACGAATATCCGAGGTTCCCAGTGTGCGCACTCACTTCTTATAAGTTACTTACCACACGACAAAATGTTGCTTCCAGATAAATGTAGTTTCTAGCTGTCATTGGAGACAACATCTGAACAAACCTAACTGGATGATTCCAATCCCACCGGAAGGGAGTTGGGTGGCGAAGTGGTGATACACATGCCCTCGAGATGAAAAGGCCTGGGTTCAAAAGTCGGGTTCTACAGAAGGCATGCACCACTGATAAGCATCAAAAAGAAGAAAACTCAAATCAGAAACATTCGTATCTTGAGATATCGCACTTAAGCAAAAATACCCGACAGCTCTGAATGAAGGCACGGTAACTGTCTCGTGAACTTCAAGCTACCGCCTCCCACCAACTCAAGTCTTTTCCACATCATTGGAAATGTACATTTTAGCTTCTCGGACGTTTATTTTGTTGGAGCAGCCGGAATCGAGGAACCCATTGCCAATGAATATGTATTGCATTCGACGGCAAACTGCGGTAAAACCGATTGACCCCGATTGGCTCCTGCCGGCAAACTTCATCAGAATTCCATTCGTTTGACCCCCTCTTAAGTCTGGAAAGAATCGTTACCCAAGTTCTAATGGTAAATGGTCAGTGACTCCACGGTTCGACATCAAATTTTAATCTACTTGGATAACTGTAGAGGCTGGATTAACGCATATCCGTACTACGTGTACTTCAAACATTGTGTTTGAGAGCAGCAAGTGTAAATGAATGCTACCAAGTTTTGTTCTCTCCGACCGAAGAGCCACCTTGCCGTATACGTGCGGTCCCACTTCCATGGTCTGACTTATTCTGATTGATTGAAACCTATAAAGGCAGCGATAGCGCATCGCTTCGCACTCGTAAATATACAAAGCACCAGTGTGCATTAGAGAAGACTCCATAGCAATTCAAATGTTATTGTGATGGAGATTTCATGTTCCGCTTTGGGAAATTAACGTAAAGCATCTTCGACTTATTGCACTTTGAATGTCTGGTTTCAGCTTCGTACCGTGGACTGATCAAATTAAATCTCCCCAAAATTTGAATTCTTATAGTAACTAAGTAAATATATGTAATGATGAATGAGATGGAATTTCAGTACCTTTGGTATCGGTAAATACATTCAATTCCAGAAAATTGAAACTGTTGTCCATTTGGTTTGCTTTCAGTTCGGCAAAATACATATTTTCAGTCAAGACAATGCCGGGGGAGAAAAACGAAGATAATATGAATTTACGCACCGAAAATTTCAGTGCCAAGGGGGACGACGGTCGAAGTTGATAGATCACATGGGCAAACAATTCAGCTTGTTCATAGTATTGTCAAGTACAGTATGGATTTGCTGTTTGTAACCACATTTGGACGGATGACTCTATCTAACTGGTAAATGTGTGACGATTAGAGAGAATGTGGAACTAAATTGAAGTCAATGATATGATAACTCATTTGTCGCATTGGTTCCATCCGCAGTGGAAATGCACTAAATAACACCCATCTAGTATATCGTCCTGTGTGAAATGAAGCCATATAATTGGGTCCTAGCCACTTCTTCAGTTATTCACTTGAAGTGAATTAAAAAGGAAGATTAGTTTGTACTTCTTTGAGGCTCTCTCAATTCAACGCTCTATTTTTTCGTTCGAACATAGTACAAAGAATGATATATATATATATATATATATATATATATATATATATATATACAGTTCCAGTTAGACAGTAAAAGTTGATAAACCTAGATCTCTCCGCGAAGATTGATAAGCTCTAGGACAGTTTAGGCTTGAGCATCGTTGGACAAGATCGAAGAAAAATTTTAGGCAAATGACCTTGAGGCGTGAATAAAGTTCGAATGCTTGTTTGGTCCCCTTGTTAGGCGAAGCAATTCAGGCTATCAATGAACGGTAGAAATTAAAATCTCATCGCATTAAATAAACGACCTCACATTCCCGACTTCGCATCTCACCGCCTCTGATCGCTTCCTCACTAAGCAGCTGTTCTTCTCCCACGACTGCACTCCATAAATGGGTGAATTGAACTTTTGGGAGTATTTGTCATTGAGAACCAGCACCAGTGTATCTCGAAATACTTCACCCAGCACTTGAGGCATGACAGTCTGGAAAAGTAATACGGATGTAGGGTAGTTATATAGTTTTCCACGGTGAACTTTACAAGGAGTCAAAAGCTGGCGGTAGACCCAGACCCGATGTGAAACTTGAGGAGCGATACATGAATCTTATGTATTCTATCTCTTAACCTACAGCTCCACAGCGTTATCCCATCAACGAAGTTAAAGACCGAACGACAATTAACGGTGAAAACGACTGGTTACTCCAGCTTCACAGAAAACGGTTGTTTGTTGAAGTACGCATTCAAATGGAAGCTGCTGCTCTTCCAAACAAAAGACTGAATATTTTTCGTGTCTCCAGACTTCGTATTCACTGATTGTCGCAAACGGTTTCCCAGTACTACGGATTTGTAGTTGTTAGATAGTATTTCTACTGGACAATAGGTGCATTGTTTGTTATCGGTTCAATTCATGACGGATAACTGAATTTTATTTTTCCCGATGTGTTGACCGTTGAATTTGGTTTCAACATGCTACCTGCCTAATGCTGTTGTAATGATCCGTAGTATTGGTATACCCGTGATTTTTTCAATAAACCTGAACTACGTTGGAGCCTGGCCACCAACTTCTTTTTTCCATTTATCACAGCTGTTGTTTCGTAATACCTCTCTATTTAATTCACAGCAGCAGCAGTTACATGGGAGACCTCAGTTAAGGGAGGCTATAAATGTTCAGTTAGATCAATCTATAAGTTCCTTTTAGGAAACATAGCTTGCTTAGCAAGTTTACTTCGTTGAAACATTTCAATCAGGCGCAGAATTTCAAGCTTTCAACGAAAGAAGGATGGCACGAAGAAAGGGCTTTAGCTCTAGTCATATATCGTATTTTCCAAAACAGTCATTCGACTTATAATATGAGTATCAAACAATGTTATTCTACGTATTAAGATTTAGCATGCATAGTGAACGGTCAACGTAGCAATGAAAGCCATTAGGCTCGGAGATTCATACTTTTCAATGGTAAAGTAGGTGGACTTTCATTGTTTTACTTGTATTCGTGTGATTAAATGAAATCCATATTTTTTATGCTATGGGCATATATTTTTTTTTCCTTCAGACTCAGCATGCCCATCAACTAGAGTAGATATGGAGCTGTAATCAACGATTCTTTTTTACTCGATGTGGTCACGATTTCTGATAAATTGCTGATTGCATTGTGAAAGCCTCCTTCATCATAGTCATCGTGTGTAATACGAAGTTAGTGGTGATAAAAAGAATTCACAAAACCACACATTCGTTCGAAAGCTAGCTAATCTGAAGCAAACTGATTTTTCCCCAAAACGACCCTACTAACTGTGTACTCCAATGTTCACTATGCTGTTGGTTGGCGGTTGTAGCCTAAATAAGCCTAAAAGAGAAGCCATGATTGACAAACAAATATTGATTGAGCTTTTACTACATTACGATTGCATACAAACACGAATATAACGAATTCTACAAGCGTTGAAAAATGTTACTGAACGGCAAGTCACAGATACATGTAAATTCAACAAATCATTCAGACATGGCCATTCTGGACCTCCTCTGAGTGTAGTCCATACAAGATAATAAAACAAAGCAAAGCAGTGACATGTGAAATTGACAGTTGCCACTTCTGAACGCAAGACAACAGAGAATGACGACGTTTAACACAAGGAGCAGTTGATGGATGTCTTAGTTATCTGTATATATCTCTAGTGCGTCCCAAATCTGGATCTTGGAAGTATTCAGACTGGAGGAGTTCTATTGAATATGCCAGAAGAGGTGAACGGAAGGGTCACTTTTTACTGGAAATACCAAATAACCGATTTATGTGAACCATATTCCGTAGCTTGCTTATCATCGCATCAGCAATTTATGACGGCAAACCAATTCTCCTTTGTTATCCTCCGTTGGTGATTTTCCTTAACAACTGCCGACCGAGGTAATTTATCATGGAAGTGCTGGAGCATCGATGTTTGCATCTGAGCGAAAACAATTCATGTACGCACGCCACCCAGTTTATTAGTATGACATACTGACTTTTTCGGGATTTATCTCAAACATTAGGTATCTCGGAAAGTCGTCCCAACTCCCAACAGATGACTGGCTCTTTCAACGCCTTTTCCTGTCTTTATAGACCCAATGAACTCCCCTGCTTCACAACTTGGTCTTTCGCCATGAATCACTCTGAGGACCTGGTCCCTTCTTTGCTCATTGTTCCCAGAAGTTATGTAATGGCACTTTGCTGAAAACGTAAATAGTTTGGGTCAATCCGAAGGGCACATATGGAACTGTTCACAAGACTGCTGAGACTCAGGATACATTTTTGACCCTACTGTTTGATCAAATCGTCTTTTTGTGCCTGGGTTGAGTTGACGATGCAACTATTAGGATATTGGTTTTTCCGTAGATGCGTCGCTCCCAGGGGACCGCATCATCAAAACCCATGTGTTCGGTCTGGAATACTGGGAATAACGATACTTGAATTTTCGTTTCGAGATCACGTCACATGTAGGCGATGCATTGCATTTAATAGAAAAGTCCCAAGACAATCTTTTAGAGAATACTTAGAAGAAAAGTTGGCGCGCTTTTGGATTTCAGAAGAGTAGTTGGAAGTATTTAGCTTGAATGGGTAGTTCAACGAAAGGAAAACACTAGGTGACTGGTTTTGTAAAAAGGGTGAAAAGCACTATCAGTAATGGTTCAGAATCAAAATCTAAATCTGCTTTTACTGTGCACCTTCGAGAGTGTGTATTTCGAGGCGTTGATAACACTGGAGCGGCATCAAAAGGGCTAGTGAGCAGCGGTGAAGAAACCAACCGTGTCCATCTGGCAAGTGTGCGTCTCACAGCGTACGCAGCTCACACGTGTTTCAATACAGAAGGAAATGAAAAGACTATACCAGTAATCGCCTACGCCAAGATATTCGGTTCTACCAATAAACCACAACATGCTTTCTGTGCGGAAGTATATTCTTCTGAAGTTTTACAAGCGTGATTCAAAATATTAACCGAAAATTACTTCACCGAATTTACGCTATTATAATGCAACAAATTTGTAATGCCTCACAGGAATCTTGAACTAAGGCAGTTTTTTTATAGAAATCCGATCAAAACGAACCTTATCTCTCATGTTTAATAATTACAAGAACATCTGTCATCGAGATAAGCGAGTTACAACTCACACAGTAAGCTCAAATTCGAAAGAACTGGAGTTTGTCAGTTCACAAGTTCCAGTGGATTGATAAAAAATGTGTCCCTGGTCTGATGTGATGAGCAGCCAAAAGCCATAGAAACCTGTTATATTGATGTCAAAACAAAAACTGTCAATTTTAGTTGAAACTTTGGAATATAAGTTGACCTTTTTTAAGTGTCGAAGGCGCGTATTCGTCCTGTTCAGCAAGGTGCACCGTTGACAGTAATGCCTTGATTTTACTCGGCTATCGTTCAAAGGCTAATTGTAGTCCGGGGTAGAAGGTGAACTAGAAGCCATTCATGGGAGAGTATCTCGAATATATTCATACGTCGTGAACGTTGTCAGCTTGAGAATGTATCGAGATGTGACGGTTAGGCTGAATATTTCCAAATTCGGTGGCGACTAAAATCTATATCGTGTGGTGCGAACTAGAAGCGTACTATCATGAACCTTCCCCGGATAGCCCAGTTTTACTCAGTGGGCTTGGAAATCAAGCACCATGTTTGTCAGTCAATTTGCTATGCACACATGATTAGTAATAACGTGGAAAAACAAATTTATAGTGCTTCGGTAGCGCCGGGAAAATAAATGATGAGCGATTTCATGAGCAATTTATTGGTGATCAATCATTACTTGAAAACTTCAGTAAACGACGTAACAATGCCCATCCATAATGAAAACTTTCCGATAATTTCTAATATTGGTATTTTTTGAAACTCAGGTTGGTGGTTTGTATCCGTTGGTTATCACTGAGCTTGGCGTTAAGGTCCCAAACGTTTCATCATCAGTCGGGGTGACATCATCAGGGCACAGGTGAGGTTGTCGGTACTCCTCTGTATATACATGGAGCTTGCTCTGGATGTGGCCTTGACCCAGTAGATGAGCCTGTACCTAGGAAGTGGCCAATTATCGAAAATTGATCCTTTGACGTCTAGGGACAAACTGCTGAATTCGGTAAGTTGACTTTTGACCTTTTGTGAAGCCGGCTTTATTTGGAAACTTGATTTCTGGGATGTTTGGCCATTCAGTTTTTTGTTTCTTTTGTCTTTTGCGCGTATTTTGTGTTTGTTTTTGTGATTCTCCCTATTTGTTGCGCTTCTTTCGTTTTCTTTTTTGATTACTTTTCGTTTTTTGTGTTTTTATCCGATGTGTGCACGCGAAGAACTGGGTTAAATACCATGGGTCGCTAATATCGAGGTCCACTAGATCTTCACTTGTGCTAGTTGGATTTCTTGCGCATCAGCAGACTGTAAATCAGATCCAATTCAATGCGCATATTGATTGAATTCTCTGAAGGATGCCAGGCTTCCATGAACTCCGTTTCGTGTCTCGTCGTTGCTTGGTCCAGATTGTGAACTTCATCTCAACTGAAAGTGTGTCCTTCTTTATCCTAGAGAGCAGATATTGGTTTATGTTGATGCATTCGTGTTTCAACCTTTCTCCCAGTTTGACCGACTGATTATTTGTTTCAGCACTTGTAGTTCACATATTATATAAATTTTCTTCTTTCTTCGGTTTTCAGTTGCATTTTCGGTCTGGATATCCTTCTGTTGGATTGTGCTCTTTGGCCAGTTTTGGTCTTGGTTTTGAGTAGAGTCCTTCGTATAAGGTTTTCTTGGGTATCCTTTCCGTCGGAACATCGTGAAATAACAGTTTTCTTCTTGCTTTCACAGCAATCATCCAAAAACCACAAGAAATATTGCATGCGAACTTTGTTCAACATAGCTAAAACACATTGCAGCACAGAGGAACTAGATACATGGAAGGAAAACTACAGCCGGCGTCACAAAAGGTCAAAAGTCAACTTACCGAATTCAGCAGTTTGTCCCTAGACGTCAAAGGATCAGTTTTCGATAATTGGCCACTTCCTAGGTACAGGGTCATCTACTGGGCCAAGGCCACATCCAGAGCAAGCTCCATGTATATACAGAGGAGTACCGACAACCCCACCTGTGCCCTGATGATGTCACCTCGACTGATGATGAAACGTTTGGGACCTTAACGCCAAGCTCAGTGATAACCAACGGATACAAACCACCAACCTTAGTTTCAAAAAACACCAATGCCGATTCATAATTTCATGCTCACATTCAAATTATCCTCCCACTTCTAAAACAGGGTAAGCACTTATTCAATACCAAATCTGTGTTTGATACTGCTAAAGTGTTTTGAAATTTCGGCTATCCAATTCAGAATGAGGTGTGCAGATAGATCAATCCCTGTTTTAAATTTAGTTTGATTTGCTTCCAGTACAATGACTGATATGTTTCCGCAAAACCGTGGATGACGAATGAACACAGTTAACAAAACACCGAATAAGACTATTTGTTAGTTTAACACGCCAATGTGTATAAGTGATCTGGATGTTTTTCTTCTTATTCTTCGAGGTGGTGAGAATATGGTTCGAAAAATATGTTTAATTACAGAGGCGTTAGGCATGCTGTTTTTCGACAGATATTCAATGGCTATACTGGGGGGTCTATGAAGAGCCTCTCTCTTTCTCTGACAAACCTAAGATCCACGACGCATCTCTTTACCTCCCAGTATTCTATAGTCTTTCTGAAGTTGAGAAGTAGACTTGGCGAACCGAAACTTTATTCAGGACGTTTTATGAGGATAGTTGTCGTATAGCCCAAATAGCTGTGCTGAGTTATAAGAGCTCACCGAAAAGCAATGGACTTTTGTTTCATTCTCGCACATGTGAAAACAGATACAATGATTTACAAAATCTCAAGTTGAGTAAGAGATAATCAATTTGTTGTTAGCTGTGAAATGACAGACAAAAAGCGATGGTAAGCCTTTGCATACTGTCTGAGGAAAAAAGATATCTCCGCTACTGGATCAATCCGAGACACTTTAAAAAGAATGCGAGGAGAACAATGTGATTGGTAAGTCTTGAAGTGCCTCCTGAAAAAAGAGTGAGATAGGAGCAGATTACGGAAAATGCTTACTTCCATGCAATGAGCGCTTTTCAATTACTAGCTGAACCTAAAGATTATAAAACATTTTGAAGATAGCATTCAAAATTTGAACCGACCTTTTTCACGAAGAAAGTAATCAAAAACGGAGAGAGAATACCATATGAATAATGTTTCTAGACGTCAAATAGGATTTTCACCATTCTCAAAACTGTCTGACAGCAAGTCCAGCCACATCGAACAGCCTACCTGTAGTATCGCTTACTGTACGTCAAGCAGATTGATGAAGGTAGAAAAGCAGACCAAAAGGTTTCAAGTTCTGTATTATTCGGTAAGATGCCAGCAAACATGCACACAGTTATGCCGTGACGCATCTGATGGATTCAATGTAGGGGAAGGCCAAAGATTTACATGGTAGGGAATTCAACCGAATTTGAAAATCCAAACGATGAAGTTTCGCTCAATCGTTAGATTTACCAAAGTCTAGTTGATCTATGAAGAAATAAATAAATAAGCCCTAGGTAAAGCTCTCAATGCAGCGGAATCGAAAAGAAAAAAGAAGACGTGAAAGCAATAAGCCGGGAAAATTATCGAAAATTGATTGAAAGTACCCGGCAAAAAGGCGGAGGGATACAAGGAAAAAACGAAGAGAGGATAACACAGATCAAAATTGAAACAAAAAAAACGAAGAGACAAAAATGCAACATGATCAATCACAACTCACCTTCAGCCTTTTTCTCTCCCCCTACAATCAACAAAGATGAGAAACGAAAAATGCACACTGATTGAGGCATCCAATCAAATGGGATAAACGATACAATAATAACCTTCGTATTTGAGTAGAATGAGAGTTTATAACAAATTGACAGCTCATCGGTTCGCTCCTGTCGACTGGCACAGTTGAATTGTGAAAATATTTGTGAACAAATGCGACCAGTTAGGGAAATTGAACAATTCAGTATGTTCTGTTAATTGTTCCCATTCATTCACATATCGTTCACGTGGAATTTGCCGATCAGACTGAGAATCGTTCAATTCGTGTTCGGATGGATGTTAGCACTCGGCCAATATATACACTTCTTCTAATCACATACAAGTGAGATGAAACACGTGTACACAGTGCTCATATACTGCTCACTGGTCAGTTGAGCAGTCATGTTTTGCATGTCGTAATATTTGATGGGCAACAAACAAATGAATGTACTATTGCTCACAGAACTGAGTTCTACAGGTCAGTTCAAATAGTTCGCAAGATCAAACACGATTGATATTTGTTCTGATGATGAAATCATTCGAGTGCTTTTATCTATCTAATGGGAACATGTGAGAGACTAATTTGCAGTGTCCACAATTCGTTTGTCATTTCCAATCAGAATGTCCAATCGGATGGTGTCTGACTGCGTTAGCAAATAAGTTTCGATAAAGAATTCGATTGGAAAACCGTTCATCTACTGCATACAGTGAAGTATCCAAATGCGAATTGCTCGTTGTAGCAAAGAGACGAATCAAATTCGGACGAGAACAAAGCAGCATGATCCTCCATGTTCAACACTGGCCATCAAGTGAATCATGCTGAACAAATGAACGAGACCAAACTGCAACATGATCAATCACAACTCACCTTCAGCCTTTTTCTCTCCCCCTACAATCAACAAAGATGAGAAACGAAAAATGCACACTGATTGAGGCATCCAATCAAATGGGATAAACGATACAATAATAACCTTCGTATTTGAGTGGAATGAGAGTTTATAACAAATTGACAGCTCATCGGTTCGCTCCTGTCGACTGGCACAGTTGAATTGTGAAAATATTTGTGAACAAATGCGACCAGTTAGGGAAATTGAACAATTCAGTATGTTCTGTTAATTGTTCCCATTCATTCACATATCGTTCACGTGGAATTTGCCGATCAGACTGAGAATCGTTCAATTCGTGTTCGGATGGATGTTAGCACTCGGCCAATATATACACTTCTTCTAATCACATACAAGTGAGATGAAACACGTGTACACAATGCTCATATTCTGCTCACTGGTCAGTTGAGCAGTCATGTTTTGCATGTCGTAATATTTGATGGGCAACAAACAAATGAATGTACTATTGCTCACAGAACTGAGTTCTACAGGTCAGTTCAAATAGTTCGCAAGATCAAACACGATTGATATTTGTTCTGATGATGAAATCATTCGAGTGCTTTTATCTATCTAATGGGAACATGTGAGAGACTAATTTGCAGTGTCCACAATTCGTTTGTCATTTCCAATCAGAATGTCCAATCGGATGGTGTCTAACTGCGTTAGCAAATAAGTTTCGATAAAGAATTCGATTGGAAAACCGTTCATCTACTGCATACAGTGAAGTATCCAAATGCGAATTGCTCGTTGTAGCAAAGATACCAGTCAAATTCGGCTTCTAACTCATTTCTTTTACCAATTATGTTGTGCATCTCTCCTACTTTTTGTACTCCGCTTTTTTTGCTTTCATCTTTCTGTTTTATTTTTCAATCTTTTTCTGTGTCTTCCTCTTTTACTTTTTATTCATTTTTTCTTTCTTTTTCTCTTGTTTTTTGAATCGTTTCTTTTCTTTAAGGCTTTTTCTATCTTTTCTTCATTGCATTCTACTTACTTCATCTGATTTTCTGACATTTTTTTCTGGTTCTTTCCTAATTTTCAGTTTTCCTCTTTAATGCCCGGCATTCATTTTTTTCCTCTGTTGGCATATTTCTATCTCTGTTAATCTTGTTTCGGTAGCTCACTCCTCCTATTCTTTCTTGCTAGCTTGTTATTGTACCCTTCTTTTTATCTTTGACAAATTTGAAATTTACTTTACGTATATGTGTATATATATAATATATATAATATATATATATATATATATATATATATATATATATATATAGTAAATAACTTTTATATGCGCCCTAGAAAGCAACCAGTGGCGAGGAAGAAAGACAACAACCTTCGTGATTTGCTTGTTTGTAGTGGACATATATGCCCAAAAAGCAGTAGAAAACATATTAAATCTAATGCTGATTGGCCGAAGTTATGATGGATTCGAGCCCCTGAAGCAAAGCTGAACGAGAATTTTCACAATGAAATAGCCGGAACATGAATAAGGACACATAGTTCATACAGAATGTTTGTGATGGAATAAATTTCTAACTTATGCTTTATCACATTTTGTACTTTTGGCCCCATTGACCGATGTAAGTGGTGTTCTTTGACTATTCTCTTCAAGGCAGTGCTTCTTTGCGATAACATTTTATTCGACACTGCTAAGAGGTATCCTATGAACCAGACCTTGAAGTCCCACATGCTTTCACAGGTCTTACAGCGAACAATGAACAGTTAAATGTTTTCGTGTTACTTCATTTACAAACCTCTCGCGGGACATAGCACGAGGCGTTATCAAAAAAAAACAAATAACTAGGTAGATTGTTTCCTTCCGTCAAATACACAAATGTTTCTTTCTTCGAGATGAAAATTTCTTCACTATTCGGATCGCCCTTATAAGACGCACACCAGTGAATTAGGAAAAAGGACACCGCGATCAAAAACAATAGTGCTAACTTGTGCGATATATCAGCGTTCGACGGAATAATTGTGCGGGGAAAAGCCTACGCCAAATGATGTTCTTCTGGATCTTCTATGGATCACCATATACCAAGCACTTTATAGAAACAAACCGGGCTTCAAAATGACAAGCCATTTGATTTGAATCCCCTGACGAATAAATTCGTGCCCTCATTTGTAAGGTTTTCAGTGCTGCCTTCATATCCAGTGATACCAGCTACACTGAAAATTTCCACTACCTTATGTCCAAACGGCTGTGTGTGCTTGAGAACTTCCTTGCACTGAAATGAGGACAGGAATTTCCGGCGCACTTTCTAGAGCATTGTGCATTTACCATGGTCTTATTTATTTGAATTGCTGGGTTTTTATCCCTCAGACATGAAGTTGTGGTGTTTTCCTGTGGTCAACTCAATAATCTGGGCTCCTGATTGCAATAAAGCACTGAGCAAGATGTGTCGCAGATTTGTACTAACATATCTTTTTATTTCTACTCAGATCTCCGAGAACGAGATATCGCGGGAACAAAGTATTGGTAGATCTTTACATCCCTTTCGCGATGATAATAAAAGCGATCAACGAGGCATTCTCAATCGACTTGATGCGAATCATTTCTCCTAATCTCTTCATTTAGGCACCCGATTGAAAACTGTAATGTCCGAAGAAAAGGTTTCATTCAGAATATTCAGGTAGTGACCCAGTCTCAGTATTACCCAGAATAATTTGTAAGGTCATGTTCAGAAGTTTATTCAAACTTCCTCAATTTATCACTTTTGTTTCTTCAGAGCCGTTTACTACGGCAATCAAGATCACACATTACACTTAACGTAGCGCAGCAAAGAATGACAGTAAACAAGGAGAAGCTTTGAAAAAAGTAATATTACTCGATGGTATGTTTTACGGAGTGAATTTTCTGCTGAGTTCCTCCAAGTGTTTTTGCTTGGATAGGTTGTCCAATGATCGGATGAATCACAGAAGGTATCCCACGAACAAACTTTTAGGTGGTTTGAGAACTTCGGGTCGAATGGTTATGACGGTTTCACGCCCAATAAGCTCAAGAATACTATTGAAATCCCCTATCCTTGATACAGGTTGAGAATAATCCTGGGCACATTCTAGAAGTAAGATGGAGGCAATTCTAAATGCAGTTAGCATCGGGTGATATGAAGGCTGAATTTTGCGACAAACAAAGAAGAGCAGGATTTAATTCACCAACCCCGTCATTTTGGAGACAGGTCTTTTTCTTGTAAGAGTGTTTCCTATACCTTGACCCGTGAAAGCTTCAGAAAATGTCGTTCAACATAGGAAATTTTAAAGAACAATGATCACGCCGAATAGTGTTTCATCGGAATGAAACGTTCAAGTTTTTGGTAGCCTATAACCAGAGACATCTCGAATAGTGGGGAAACGTTCACTTCCATGGCTGAAAATATCCTCGGATTTAGCAAAAGACACAAGTGCTTTTTTCGGAATAAAGTTTCATACTGTATTTCACGAGTGATTTGCAAATATATTTAGTTCTAATGATTTTTCACTTCATTAGTCACTGTAAGACTTGTAGAATTATGGTTTTGTAACTTCACCAAAAACACGGTGGACTCTATGTGGGTTAGACTGAGAAAAGTCTTGAAGGATAAGAGCAGACAGAAAGACTGTGGTCTACTGGTGTTGGTTGAAATATGCCCTGGTCTGCATTTTTAACGAATTCGTTCAGTGCATACAAAAAGATTATAGGAATTGTTGTCATAAAGCAAAAGAAACTTCTTTGTTATCGTTTATATGACAGTATGTAGTTCTGCGTTATTGCCGTCAGAGAACCAAACAAAACGTGCCTGTTAGACAACCGTTTTAACAATTGCATTATAAAGTTGAATATGAGGTCGACGGAGTCTGCTGTATTCACATGTCAGTTTTGTATGCCACTTCAACGCTTCGTTTTTCGTTGACTTTCATCAACGTTTTCGTGACTTATCACGACCAAATACATTAGAACTGCGTGAATTCACCTTGATTTACAATTATACCATGGACAGTTTCTTCATCTGAAAACCTTTCCCATTCATAATTATCACTAACGCACCGAAGCGCTATTCCTATTTTTAAAAATTGACGAACATGGATAACTGCAATCAAGCGTTTATGTTTCATTCCGAGAAGTTTGCGTTCGGTATTTCAAATCTGTTTGAGAATATCTGTTGATGCTCAACCTACGGCACCATGGTTACGAGCAGCGCGATGGATGAAATTCTCACCCGTTCTTCTCATGAGTAGTGCGTACAGGTGACAGAGATTTAGTATTTATGGCCTGATTTCTCCTTTTCCAATGCACCTAGAAGATTCATATTGGTGTTTTTATAGTATATTGCATTCACATTCATTGTCTTTATTCTTGTTTCTGTTGTCCAATGAATGTACTCTACGTTATAGGAATAATTTGTTGAAAACAGCTACGCACCGGAGACGAACTCCCGATATCAGCTCCGCCGGAACCGTACTAGACCATTAGGCAACGGATTATCCCAGATGCGCAAATAAATCGGATACCATGTTTATTAGCTCACACCAAGACAAGTCGCTTTTGTTGTTTTCCAACTGCTTCTTTTCGCCATCTGACCTTCGTAACTACTTCGCATATTCTGCATGAAGATTATGTTCTTATTCTGTGATCAAAGCTTTTATTCCATGTCGTGTTTGTACTGCAACCGTGCTGCGCTACAGTTTAGTTTGAATCCTTACCGAGTGGACCGCTTTTGACCACACTGCCCTGGTTTACCGGATAACCTTCTGTACTGTTCTTATTGGTTGTTCAAGTGGCTGTAGTTCATAAACTTATATATATATTATTATGCAGCAACACGAAATTAAGATGAAAACACGGCTAATAAACTTTGATTCGTTCCACTGCCGGTAGCCATGTACAACCCATATTGTCAGTGAAGCTAGTGAGATTAAGTTTCTACTTCAATGACAACCAAGTAACCGGAATAGGTTCTACAGATACTTACCGATCTGTTGTTAGGACCTAACAAATCTTCGACGTAGGTATTTATTAAACTTTGCTCCTCATCCCAAACTCGTACGTTTACGCATGACCGGAGGATATAGGGACAGAATGACTTACTGCAATGAAGTAAACTTGAAAACCTAATCACAATGACGCACTTACATAGCCAAATATGCTAACTTTTCACTCTACTCAAATCAACCCACACCTAAATCATGATACCGATGTAAGTGAACGATATTATCTGAATAATACTACTATTTTTGGTGCTGTGGTCACCGGGTATTCATAACCAATTTCATTTCAACTTACCTGCCAGCTGTGAGTGCAGCACGCACAAAATCACAATCAACAAAATAAAGGATTTCATTTTTCTTCTCCTACACGACTTATTCTAGCGTTTTTATAGTGCTTGCAGTTGCAGAAAGTGTACTTCTATTGGTTTAAAACCGTTGTCATGTAATTTTTATGTTCGTTGTACTAATCACTCTCCGTCTTCATTTATTGGCAGGCCCGAATCTTTAACTCCAAAAGAAAGATATCCACCATTCATGTTTACGGAGAACCAGTACCACCTACTACTAGATGGTGGCATAGCTACAAGGATTATTCCAGTGCATTTGGAGACGGAGGTATTACATTGTCTTCTACTCCACATTATTCTATATTTGTACATTACTAAACCGCATCAGATGCAATAGTTGCAAATTTGACCCTCACATGCTGCTGTATGGGTCCGTTTTCTTGACTTGCACGGTTATTCATGGTGTTGTCAGGCATACGTGTTTTATAAGAAAAAATGTGAGACTACTTGCACGGCTTCCTAACAAACTGGGGGTAATTCAAACGTTTTTAGCAACCAGAATGGGAACTTATGGTGGAAATAACAAACCCTGAGGAGTAGCTTTATTCTTACCTTTTTTCAAATACTGAATATGTTTACTGCTATAATTTGTGCTAGAAAACACATTCCCGAAAATTGAGCTGCCTGAATCAACTAAATAATAGAAGTTTTCATGCCACTTGCAGAAATCAATATTTCCGTTTTGTTATTATTGAGTGCAACGCATTATTGATGTGTGAACAGTCGATACTTGGTATTTTATTCGGAGGAACGTATGATGTCCCAATAGACGAGGTGGTTTGCCTAATTTGGTGAACACTAATCGACTTCAGCGGTGCTGTCTCCAGTAGGGTTCATGTACTCCTCATTACAATTTCGAATTTGTGTAGGCGTGAAAATCAAAATCAGGTTCCAGCATATCGGATACGTGGAGAATACTGCTTTTTATCAGCGATGACGGATAAACATTCGATGCAGTCAGATACTGTGATCTTTATTTTCCCTGAAGAGGTTTATCTTGATGCTCAGTAAAAAGCCAAAGCTATTCAGCCTGAAAAATGCCGCTGATCAGGTTCAGCTTTAATTGATAGCTCAGATTCACGATAGAACTCGTGTTATTATCTCTAAGTCATCAACAGTGTTTGGAACACTGTTCAGATATTATGTGAGTTATTCGGTAGTAATTGTCGAAATGATTTTTCATCCAGACCTAAAACGTTGATCCCATATGGAAGAAAATATAGTTTTCAGCTAGACAAGAATAGGTCACCCGCGCCTGGAGTGTTCGGCCTGACGCCACTTGAATGAAGAGGATACAGACAATCAACGAAATGAAATAAAACCGTCTGATAGTCAGTAAAATTTATTTACCAGTGAGTATTTGCGTGCACAGACATAATTTCTTTTTCACTCGACAATATGCATTCATCTGTGTAAGGTATCATCTATTACAGAGAAAAAGTCTTACTCAATCATAACTTTTGGGTTTTAGAAGAGTGGTCGTTTTAGTGAACGAAGAATGGATGGATGCACGAGCAATTATGCCTTTTTCGGGTAGGCGCTGGGATTCCATATAGATCAGCACAATGAACAGATCTTACTGGAAGTGGTACAGTCGTAGTTATCCTACAAATATCAAATTCCACTCAGCTTTATTCATTCTTTCCATCACTTTTTAATACTCTATTTTCCTCCTGACTGAAATGATTTAAGATTTGGACAACAAATTGGTTAGACTGTCATCCACTCAGATGCTTCACTCGCAACTGGCCGCCAAGATATACAACCGGGTTTCCTGACGGTCAATGGTTTTGTCCCAAGTCCCGTCCGCTCTTTTCACAGGAGACCCAATACCGAATGATCCAGTATTCGATTTCACAAGGCAAACAATAATCATCATCATCTGCAATGATATTTCAAATACCAAGCCGAACAACGGAAGATGTAATCGAAACGATCACTTCCCATTGTCAAATCTAACCCAATTATTCAAGAAAGGAGCATGCAAATAAATTGGTATCTTCTGCCATTTGAATATTTACCAAGTCAAGCATAAGTAGATACTGACACATTTTCTTTTTTAAATTCTATCGAACCGTAAAACATACCAAATTAAATCACAGGTTTAGAATGTCGGTTGGATACGTGTTCTACCCTAACTGGTATCGTTTTGTAAATACAGTGCTTCTAACACTGTTCCGTGAACTGTGATATTGGTGGATACCATGGGGCTAGAATGCAGTAAGTGATTATAACAACACGATGCTTTGTGTACTTGGCCCGCCATTTTCCTGCCCATGGTCGGATAGAAAGTGGGATTTGTAAAATAAGAGGCATCTTTTTGAAGGCCAGCGGCCCATCTCTAGATGTCAACCTAATGGAGCAAAGATAAACGAGAACGTCTAATGACGTTATGAGAACCAAGACTTACGGGAATATGTTAGGTGTTCCAGCTCAACCTTCAAATCGTTCTCCGTACAAACTTAATTCTGATTTGGAGTAACTCCTCTGACAGTAAATGCATATGATCAACAGGATGCAGTTCACCAGTGAATTGACAGTGATATTTCGAATATTTGAAGAATATCGAATAATATCAAATTTTTCAGCCTGTTCCATCTCAGACAACTCATAAATTCTCACATTTTTTGTAGCTTTTACAGGATTTTCCTCAAAAGTTCACAATCAACTGTTACGGTACCTGAAGTTCTTTATTAGGCCATGATGAAATTATCCAGTGTGCCCTGCTGTATGTGCTACAGTACGACTGGTATTCGCTGGTTCAGATAATCGACTATTCTCGTATCCGGTACACTATTGCCCTGCTGTTCTTCCAGGTGGTAAAACCAATTTGCTCCACGTAACCGGATATTGGCCGAAATTTCGATCAAGAGCTGAGTCAACGTCGTCTGTGGCCTACGCTAAAACACAAATGATTGCCACATTCACATGTTGACTATCGTGCTGGGTTTCATGAAGTTGACCAATTCGTACTTGATATCCAGTTATGTAATATAAATTCAACCAAAATATTGTTTCTACTTACTCATAATTTCTGCTTCAATTGGTTTTATATACGTAAATATATTATTTTTCGAAAGTGCAATGAATATCACATTTCTTGACCAATAGCATCTAAAACTGGCATATAAATGGAAGGGTAATTCGCCTTCCTTTATACTTCTATTTAGCGTTATCGCTACCGCCAACACATTAGGTTGCGGTGTCTGGTGTCAACCTTGATTCCTATGCAGAACTTATTCCATGTTACTTTTCAGATAATGTGCAAGACCGAAACGGATTGCCTTTTCGAAAGACATGTTTGCTCATTTTTTGGCAGAGTAAATGGATACACACCAAGCCAACCACAAGTCGATCTTCGTTTTGAATTAGGAGGAAAATAGATGCCTGCCTTTTCAATCAATCAAATTGTAAAAGCGCACACCAGGATTATCATACTCTAATAGTTTCATGATTCAGAGACGGCAATGGTCTTGGCGAAACTACAGAAAGTAAACTTATAGAAGTGACTCTTGTTCTTCCTGACTGTGATTCCTAAACCTTTTTGGACTCTGCCGATTTCTGAGCCCAGGTTCATGGATGCATTAGGATGCCCTACAAAATGATCTTTTAAGTAAAATGACTGTTATGTATCCGATTTCGTCGTTGTCGAGTCCTTCGCTTTTATTCTCAACGTTTGTTTAACTAACTAAATATGATGAAACAGTCACAGCAATCACTTCACATCACGAGGGCTTCAGCTGATGATTTCCTAATGAGATTATAGTTCACACATTATTATTCGTTATACGTTATGATGGCCCATTCACTACTGTTATCACCAAACTGACAACTCCGTACTATTCCCAAGGTGCACAATCGTTTTGCAATGTTTGCTAAGTTTCCAGCCTAGCTCGAATGTAGCACAGAGCACAATCAAACAGGTGACTAGGGCGAATTCGAATGACAATGAAAAGTGCTTTCATCCATCGGCAGGCCATACAGTAATGCGCACTGGAAGTCAGATGTCAGCAGGACCATCTGTTCACATTCCACTGGACTCGCTAATATTGCTTCCCCCTTTTGTGAACCATGTGTATCTACCAGGTTGCGGGTCGATCGGCAAAGGTTGTGTGGAGCTTCTGTTGCTATGTGAATATCTGCTTTTTGGGAGAAGATCTTTGTGTGGGGGAACTAAATCCAACCCATGGGGTTTTATGGTTTGTGCCTGAGCTGTTTGTGTCGGAGTATCGTCTAACTACTCGTGTAAGTGGTCATCGGTGTCGTGTTCAGCAAGTCCATGTTGCCAGTATTTCCATCGGAGCTGACTGAAGTGCTTGATCCGCTGGTTCATTCCGATAAACAGTTCGTAAACAACTGGTTCTCTTTTGCCTGGTACCTTTCCTGAAGTATTTGTCGGATGACGTAATGTGAAATATTTCATGTAATAAGTTTCTACCACGCTGAGTTCACTGTCTGGTTGCTTGTGATTTAACTTCCGTTTTGTCTAACTGTTGGTCCTCCTCTGGTAGCATAGAAACATTGGTAATTTTTTTGCTCCGAGTCAAGCATTTGTTAAGTGACACACCCCTTGGAAGGTTTTGATTAAGGATGATTCCCTAATCAAGTGAAAACCAATTGATGATCATGCCCAATTCTTATCAACTTGGGTATTTTTTGACCTTAGGCGGTATCAACAAATCTTTTCCACTGACTGTTTGATTGTGGATGGTATGTTGGATTTTGTAATCGTGCAACGCCATTCATCAGACAAATTTTGGAAAATTCCGTGGATGTAAATTGAGCACCATTATCTGGAACGAGTTTCTCTGGGAAACCTTATCTGCCGAATATGCCCTTGAGTTTTCAAATCATAGACTGGCTAGTTACTCGTTGTATGGTGCAGACTTCTGAACACTTTGATGTAGAATCCAACATAAGTAGGGGGTAAACGCTGCTAAACAATCCAGCAAAACTAACATGCGCGTGATTCATTCGTTTTTGTGTCAACTGCTATGACTGTGGTT